AGGCCCTACCGGCTGTTGGTATGGGACTACGTGGTTTGGGGCGCCCGGTCGGGAGGGCTGGAGCCGATGCTCAACGGGAGCTCACAGCGTTGGAACGGGTGAGCCCTACTGGCCGATGGAGGAGGAGCAGCGTGATTGTATAGCCCTACCAGCGACTATTCCAGTCGAGGAGGTTCCAGTGTATAGCGACTATTCCAGTCGAGGAGGTTGCCTCGACTGGAATAGCTCATGGTGTCGGCATATGGGCCCTACTGGCTGACAGGCCCCTGCTAATCAGTGGGCAGAGGGCAAAATGGCTGACCGAGAGGGCCCATGAAGCCTCCGACTGGAGATCAAGACTCAGGACGACGGACGTGTGGGTCCTCTCGGTTTGGCAGATAAAAAGGCTTTGGGCCGTCTGGCAAGGAGGACTCTTGCGACACCCGATGGGAGATCAAGACTCACGGCATCGGATGGATAAGTGTCACTTGCGGGTGGTAAGTATAGAAGCCCAACCGGGAGTACTCTCGCCGACATCTGACGGGAGGTCAAGACTCGCTGCATCAGATGGGTAAGCCTCGCCGGGCGGGGAGAGAGGAAAGGAAAACCCGACTGGGAGGGCTCTCGTGGCATCCGATGGGGTATCAGACTCAGAACATGGAACGGGTAAGCCTCGCCAGGTGGGGGGAAAAGACTTGAGGTTAGCTGAGAGGGTTCTGACAGCGTTCGGCGGGAGGTCGAGACTCATGGCGTCGGACGGCTAAGCCTCGCCAACCGTCGAACGGAAAAGTAAAGTTATGTGGCCGGGAGACTCTCGCCGACGTCCAACGGGAGCACACAGCATCGAACGGGTAAAGCTTGTGTTATACTTTCCGCGTGCGCTATTCCGCTAGTGTGACGTAAAAATCGTCATCGGAGAGTGTGCGCGGAGGCTCTGAGCGGACATCCGCGTGCCTCCCATTTTTTGTGACAAAACAAAAAGCACAAAAATCAAGCAGTACAAAAGCACCAATTGCGCATGCGCTGGAAAAACAACATGGAGACCGAATTTGAAGAGAGGCTGTGTGAAGAAGTTCGCTACCCGCACCTGTACAATACTTCTTTAAAGCAATATAAAGACATCCAAACGTGCAATAACTCCTGGAGGGAAGTTGCTCAGAGTTTGGGCAAAGAAGAAAGTGCGTGTCGCCACAAGTGGAAATATTTGAGAGATCGTTTCGTGACGGCAAAGAAGAAGCTGAAGAGAAGGAGCGGTGCACCAGGCGGTAGAGCTGTTCCCTCCATCGTTTACCTCTTGAGCTGGTTGTCCGACTTCGTGAAACACCGGGACACAGACTCAAACTTCCCAGTAGAGGTAACGTTAATGCGAATCAAACTTTTTTTTATGTTTGCTTGGTTCTTGGGCAGCTTTGTGAAGTGAATGTAGTATCGTTTGTTTTTCGAATGTTGTAGTCAAGTCAAGTCACCTTTATTTATATAGCGCTTTTAATGATACAGATTGTGTCAAAGCAACTTTACACTATTAATTGGGAAAAATAGTGTGTAATAATGCAAAAGGACAACAGTAAATACTCAATTTTCAGTCAGTTCATCATTGTAGTAAACGTCCTGTGACTAAATTTTTTGCTTAGTTGCTACATGATTACAATTCATTATTTAACGTTACAATATACTAGTATATATATGTTTATATATCATGAATAATAATTTAAAAAGAAATGTAAATTTCTGTTGCTGTCCTACATTGTCAGCCATAAATACTGAACATTTGCCATACTATCTGCTAGGACTTTACATAGATGGTTAACTAATATTAATGTATTGCAGCTAGAAGGCAACTCGTTCACACTGAACCTGGAAGCAACTGAAGCAGATGAGTCCATTTCCCCAAGAACTTCGACGCCATCACCACAACCAGAGGCTTTTTCACCACCACCCGCAGCAGCTGTGCTGTCATCACCCACACCCTCCTCATCATCCGCAAGTGAGGTTTTTCCCCTCCCCACATCTCTGAAACAAAAAAGACATACACCTACCACACCCTTTGAAGATGCTATCCTCCAGCGGCTACAACAAATCGACAAAGCCAAAGAGGATGAGGATCATGCCTTTAGTGTGATGGTTACAAGCATGCTGGCAAAACTTCCACCCCATGTCCGCATGGAAGCTAAATTTGAAATACACCAGCTTCTTTATCATAAACAGAAGCAGGCATTTCAAAATGACATCAGTCAATAATAAAAACAGTTGTTTCATTTGTTGGTGTTGGGTGTTCTTTATATTATTGTTCTTGCTTTTGTTGGGTATTTTTTATATTGGTTTGTCAAATATATCTTTCAAAATTGACTGTGTTCCATATCTTTTTGTGAGAGGTTTTCAAAAAACAACAATTAGAAGTACCTAATCACAAACAGCTGTTTATTTACAAAGTCAATACACAAATTTCACAAGCAATGTAGTTATTAAATTGCAAATACCAAAATGCAAACTGTGTAAACAGCCATTTAAACTAGTGCTGTTGATTAATCGCATTCAAAATAAAAGTTTGTTTACATAATATATTTGTGTACTGTGTATATTATGTATATATACACATGCATGCATATACGTAAGAAAAATGTTGTTTAAATATTAAATATATTTATAAATAATATAAATTATATGAATATACATATGCATGTAAATATTTTCAAAATATATACATGCATGTGTGTGTATTTATATATACATAATAAATATACACAGTACACACACATATTATGTAAACAAACTTTTATTTTGAATGTGATTAATCGTTTGACAGCACTAATTTAAACTATTTTAAATGTTCTGGAGACCCCTCCTAACTACGTTGTCTTGCCACGGCACGTGTCCTGCTGGTGTCTGGAAAAATGTCATCAGATTGTGCCTTGTGTTGAGTGCAAACCGTGATGCTCTTCCGGCGGTCAGCTGCCTTGCCTCAAGAAGATTGGTGTCGCCTGCCACATGCCGCCTCCACTCCCCTGGCTGGATGTCTCCGTTTGCAGTGGGGCTATCTGGCAAGGTGTATGGTATGTATCTCAGGTTCCCTGGATTAGATGCATCAGTGTGGGTTAGGTGGTTGTGTAAAGCCACACAGGCTTTCACAAGTATGGTGTTCCCTGGATTAGATGCATCAGTGTGGGTTAAGCAGTTGTGTAAAGCCACACAGGTTTTCACAATGTGTACTACATTGTCTGGGCTGCAGTCAATTGGTCGGCCAAAAATCCTCCACCGGGATGCCATAATGCCGAAGGTGTTCTCTATGATCCTTCGGGCCCGGGAATGTCGGTAGTTGTATACTTGCTGTGCTGTCGTGAGGTTGGAGCCTGTGGGATAAAGTGAGAGGAACATACAAACGGTGTGAACACACATGGTGTTGTCTTTGATGCTACACAAGCATAACGTAATGGGTTATTAAATGTAATTAAATGTAACATTATAAATGATAAATGGTAACCTCAAAAATACAAGTATACCTATATACAGTTATTTACATATGTACATAGGCTTAACTTAAACACCCACAACATTACAGCAACAAATTGATAATGTGGTTCATGTCATGCTGTTGTGACACAGTATTACTGCAAAATATAATTTTATAATTCTTTTGTACATTCTGATAAACAAAATACTTTACCTGGGAATGGGCGCATGAGATTTGGGAGCAGTGGGAAAGCTGCATCTGCAACAAACACATGCGGATTTGTGACATCCGTGCCTGGCGCTGAAGTGTGTTGTCCGTCTTTGGTCCTGGTCCCATTCAGCGGATTTTTGACATATGTACATAGGCTTAACTTAAACACCCACAACATTACAGCAACAAATTGATAATGTGGTTCATGTCATGCTGTTGTGACACAGTATTACTGCAAAATATAATTTTATAATTCTTTTGTACATTCTGATAAACAAAATACTTTACCTGGGAATGGGCGCATGAGATTTGGGAGCAGTGGGAAAGCTGCATCTGCAACAAACACATGCGGATTTGTGACATCCGTGCCTGGCAGGGTGGCTGGTCGTGGCAGCTCCAGAGTCCTGTTGATTAGCTTGGACCCATATATACTTTCTTTGAAGACGCCTCCATCGCTTTCACGTCCATAGGCCCCCACGTCCACCATCGTGAACCGGTAATGGGCATCACAAGCAGCCATCAGAACAACTGAGTGACTCCCCTTGTAATTAAAATAGTCACTTCCAGCATTTCGGGGGGCTTTGATGGTGACATGCTTTCCGTCGATGGCACCAAGACACAGTGGGAAGTTCCAGACTCTCCAAAAATCACGCGCTATGTCCATCCACTGTGTCTGGGATGGGAAGGGGACGAATTCCGGCTGCAGGGTGTCCCAAATGGCCTTACACACCTCGGGAATAATCTTCGATACAGTGCAGCTGCCCAGTCTGTAACTTGCAGCCACACCAACCTGAGAACATCCAGTTGATAAATAGCATAAAGTCACCGCTAACCTTTCCGCCACACTGATCGGAGCAATGTGTGTTCTTTTGTGCTGGACGCATTCACCGATTCTGCGGCCCAGGAAATCAAATTTGGCGGCAGACATTCGAAAGTGCTGATGGTGCTTCTCCATGTCCATTGCACGCATCTCCTGCACCAACATACTAAACTCCCCATCTTTGGTCCTGGTCCCATTCAGTGGCCGCACACACCACTTTCTTGTCCTACGTCTTTTCTTTTTTTCTGCGAATTAGCCAAGTACAGCAGACAAAGAAGCTCTTCCTGCTGCATAGACGTCGCCATGTTTAGTCTGTTCAAGCCGATCTACTGCGCATGCGTGGAACACGTCAGCCGAGCGGACAGTTTCGGTAGTATAATTGCAAGTAGTCTGTGTCCGCGCTGTCTGTGTACGCGTCCGGATTGTGCATGCGGAAAGTATAACACAGGCTTAAGCCTCGCCGACTGTAGGATGGAAAAGTTAAAGTTGTCTAGCCGGGAGGCTCTCGCCGACGTCTGACGGGAGCTCAATACTCACGGCATCGAACGGGTAAGCCTCTCCGAACGTAAGACGGAAAGGTAAAGTTGTGTGGCCGGGAGGCTCTCACCGGCATCCGACGGGAGCTCAATACTCACGGCATCGAATGGGTAAGCCTCGCCGACCTTAGGATGGAAAATTTTTTGTGAAGTGATTACATTAAATGGTTTCATGACCAATGAGGGTTTGGTGGGCTTTTTTGATGTGAAACTGTTTAGTTCTGATGTAGCATTGATAAGCTTCTGAAGACCAGCTTCCTAGAGTTTGGATCTGCTGCTTGGAGAGGCCTTTTTGGGCTGCTGATGTTGCTGCCCTGATGCGGAAAGAATGGCTGGAGAAATTATTTGCTGGGATGTCCGACAATTGCAGGACGGATCTGAGATGTTTTTGGAACCAGAAGCGAGTGATGGGTTTTTTGGAGTCGTCTAAAAGTTGCTTTGTTTGATTAAGAAAGAAATTGTTTAGCTATCGAGTACGGTTAGGTCTGAGACAGTCGGGTTGATTTTTTGGGATCGAATTTGGAAGAGATGGTGAGTTCCGAGCATCTAAGAAAACCGAAAAAGGCTAGAATGAACATGGCGTTGAGTATGCGGGTTGTACTGAGAGGCTGGTAACCTGTGCGGAGGGTGTGGATACATTTTGTGAGAATGTCTAACGTTAAAGGTTGTCTAGCCGGGAGGCTATCGCCGACATCCAATGGAAGTTCAATACTCGCACCCTCGGACGGGTATGCTTCGCCGGTACTCGGACGGAAAGGCCAAGATTTGCTTGATCGGAAGGCTCTTGCGGCGTTCGACAGGAGTTCAATACTCACGGCAAGGACGGGTAAGCATCACCGGTAGTTGAAAGAACACATATTCACTCAACTGGGAAGGCTCTTGCAGTATCTGATGGGAATTCGATACTCACGGCATCAGATGGGTGAGCCTCGCCAGTAGTCGACGGAGAAACATATTTGCTCCACCGGGAGCGCTCTTGCAGCATCTGTATGGGAATTCAATGCTCAGAACAATCGGAGTTGTCTAAAAGGGTAAATGCTATGAGGATTACTTTGTGTAATTGTTTGATGAATCCAATAAGCTGCTTCTTATAA